TCCAGGGAAAGACGCATGGGGTCCAGGGAAAGACGGCAGTGCCCGTTCCTGGGGTCACCCCCGCCGCTCCCGAAAGTAAAGCCAAGTCCGCACCGCTGCGTCCCCTCCCATTTTTCTCCCAGGGGTGTAAACCCAATTCCCCTTGGAACGGGCCACAGGAAGATTTCACGTTTTCCCAAGCGGGGCCGCGAGGCAGGAGGTTGTCCCACAATCTCGCTGGGAATTTATCCGAGCTCCGCGTGTGCCGGGGCTGCCCGTGGGCAGGTGCTTGTGGCGACGCGGAGCTTGTGACTCCGCTTGGGCTGCGGGCGTGCGCCAAGGAGCTCCCAGCCTTCCCGTGCTCCAAAAGCTGGCTGAGAAGGCGCGTGAGGGGCAAGCAGGGCTGGGGCCAAGGCTGACGCCGGGGCCGGACCGGGAAGGGGCAGGTACCGGGGCAGGTACCGGGGCAGGTACCGGGGCAGGTACCGGGGCAGGGAGAGGACAGCCCCGCTCCGCCACTCCCGCTCCACAGCGCCCACCCGAGGCGGCGCACGCCCCCTGGCGGCCCCGCGCGGCGCTGCGGCCCATGGGCGGCTCCCCGCGTCGCAGCCCCGTGTGACGTCACCCGCCGCGCGCCGTCGCCGCCGCCATGGGCAAGAGGCGCGGCGGGGCCGCCAAGGCCGGCAGCGGCAATGGCAGCGGGAGCGTGTTCCGCATCGCCCGCAGCGGCGTCCTCAGGGCCAGGGCCAAGGGCAAGGCGCGGCCCGTCACCTCCGGGCTGAAGCAGGTGAGTGCCGCGGCGGGAGCAGGCGCTGGCCGGGCTGGAGCAGCGCCCCACCAGGGAAGGCCTCGGCCCGGCGGGGATTCCCCCCCTTGGAGCTCGCTGTGGGCGCTCGGCACTGGTTACAGCGAGCTGTCGTAGGGGCATTGCGCGTCCGGGCACAAAACGGCAAAATGCACCATTTTCACCCGAAAATTAGGTTTGTAGGTGGAAAACTGTATGTAGCATCCTCAAAAGGAGAAGCACAAGAGGTTCATTTGGCTAATTTGCAGGTATATGCCACAGCAGGCATCCGGCTGTGCTTGAGGGGTGTCGTTCGGGAAGTGTCTGACAGTATCTGCTTGTCCTCGGGAATGCGAGGCCAAAGGGAGCGTCAGCAGTTCAGCGAGTTTGCGTTCGCTGGACTGCATTCACAGCATCGCTGAGGGTGTAATTCACGGTAGAGTTTAACAAAATGCCGTGATCCAAACCACTGGGCATCTAACAAGGGTGTGTCCTGCTCCTTTCCATCACTTTCCTAGTCCCAGGGAGGGATCCATTTGCCAGGTTCTGGGCTACATTCCCACAGCTCTCCTTGATGCTGGCTCAGGAATTCTACGCCCACTAGGTGACTCAACTTGCTAAATCAGCGGCAAAAGCCATTAAAAATACATTTTGCATTTTTATGTGCTGGGTTTGTGAGTTGAACAAATTTAATTACAAATGAATGAATGCAGAGAGAGGAGTTTTGGTGGGGAAGAACCAGAAAGGATGGAGCTTTTCCTGATCCAGTAGCTGCCTCAACTATCAAGTAGAACTGTCAGTAATATGCAGTGAACAGAGCCAGGAGTGTGCACTGCTGGATGTTTTGTACTTAATTCCTCTCTGCCCCTTACGTGGGCTGTGATGCTCTGTAGATGCTTCTATGAGCCAGTTTAACATAGTAAACCAATAGAAAAACAAATAAGCAAAAATATTACTGTTATTTTTGTGTCTGTAGAGGAGCACAGCCCAGAGGAGGGAGAGAGTGGGTTATGGAGCAGGGAGCAGTGCAAGGGAAGAGGGATGGGAGTGATCTTAGCAAGAGTTTTCCTGTTGTGAGCAGTGAGTCATTATATGGTATCTTCTCAAACCCTGCCTCCAGCCTGAGGTGTGTGTTCTGCAAGAGTTCAGCTGTCCCTCTATAAAAGCATCTGGTACTAAAAATAATAAAAGCAGAGGGTGGCTTATTTTCTCCATTTGAGGCAGTTGCAGTATGTTGGACAAACCCAAGTAAATGGCTCTTAAAAAAAAGGCTGTTTCAGATTTTCTCCTGCAAGCTCCACTTGACAAATTAATCTGGTGGACAGACAGGAATGTAACGAACTTTAGAAAAAACAATTTCATGTTGCTGGCGTTGCATCTTCTCTTCGTCTAGACTGTTCTGTATAATAAAGGGAGAAGCAGGTTTGAAATCATATTCATGAAATGTCTGAGTTTCATAGTCTTGAAAAGCTTATTAGGAGTAAAATTTTATTCTGTGTGTTTGAAGCTGTGTTCTTTAATGCATTAAGCCTTTGGGCTTAATGCAATTTACTTATCATTAAGCAGTATAAGAAGATGCTGATAAAAAAAATCACAACAATACATTTATTCATTAATAGCTAAAAGCCCATTGTAACTGTTCAGACAACTTTTCATGTAGGTACCCATGTTAGCTGTAGAGCCTCTTTCTGTGGATGAGTCGTGCCTGAGTACTTGAGGATATCACTGTTAAAACTGACTGGAACCTTCTAAAACCCCTGTGAAGCTGGAAGATGGTGATAAGCCCTGATTGAACACATGGTCTTTGTTTGACTTGTTGACTTGTTGTTACCAACAGTCCATCGACTCTGATCAGAGCTGGGAACCGGGGCTCTATTTCTCTAGTCACTGTCCCAGTTCAAACGTTCCTGTTTGAGGAACAACGAGGCCTGTTCCATCAGCCTCATTGCCACTGCTTTCTTAATGCTGGTTTTCCTGGTCAGAATGGAATTGTTACTGTATATGTGCTCTGAAATTATGGAGGCTTTGAAAGTAAAATGAATACGTGTAACCATTCACAGTGTGCTTCTGCCTGTTTAAATTGCTTAGAGATGAACTATGGGGGTAGTCTTTGAAACAGCCGTAGGTATTCTGAAATTTGGGGTTGCCTGAAGACCTATGAGCATGCTTCTAGAATGTTTGCAATGTAATAGGTCATTATCTGGCTATGATCCTGTTCTAGACCTTAGAAGCAGCAGGTGCTAGGGCTCAGATCAGCTGAATCTTACTTTGCTGCAATGGTGAGAGTTTATGTCCTCTTGCATCCACCCTGCTCCTCTACCACAGACAGCTGTCCCCAGAGTGCAACACATGTCCATATTCTCGTGCCTCCTCTTTGAAAGTAAAATCTTTGATGAAATAACTTACAAAGGCAGACTTTAGCTAAAAGAGACAGAGATACACATTCCGCTCTGCTACAGCTGCTGAGTTTCTTTAAATACTGTGGCAAAACCTGGTAGATGTTGTTGGCCAGACCTATAGTACAAACAATTAGGATACAAGATGTGATGATGAAAGGTAAGCTACTGGAAGAAATTCAGCATAATAAAATAATTTACAAATTGTATTTGGCTTGAGGGACGGCAGGTGTGGCTTCTCTAAAAAGCTGCTAGAAGCTTCCCTTATGGGGAATGCCAGGGCCAATGCCAGCTGGCTTCAGGATGGATACACTGCTGGCCAAGGCAGAGCCCATCAGGTACTGGCAGTGCCTCTGGATTGATGTAGTTAAGAAGCATACCACCAGCAGCAGTCAGAACAGAGGAGTGAGAATTTTTAAAAGAATCAGCCCTGCAGACACCAAGGTCAGTGAAGAAGGAGGGGGAAGAGATGCCCTATGTGCCTGAGCTGAGATTCCTCTGCAGCATTTGTTTGACAACAAATGAAATTAATTTTTCCCAAGTTGAGTTGAGTCTGTTCTGCCTGTGATGGCAACTGGTGAGTGATCTCTCTCTGCCCTTATCTCTACCCATGAGCCTTCCATTATATTTTCCCTGCCCAGCTGAAGAAGGCAGCAGTGGAGCAGCTTTGGGGGGCACCTGGCATCCAACCAGGGTCAGTCCACCATAGATAAAGGAAGGAACCTTTCCTGGGACTTCATTCCAGCTAAGACGAGCTGAGAGTGGTGTAGCAGGGTCTGTGGAGCTTGACTTTTGTTTTCTGTGTTCTCTTCCTGGATCACTGTGGGGTTCCATTCCAGTAGAGCAAATTTAACTCTTAATTTTGAATTTATTAGTACACAGCTAGATGACCTAATGAAGTAACAGGTAAAACATACTGAAAAGCATGTAACACTGTCTGCATAGTAATTGCACAAAAATGGGGCAGTTTCACATCAGTGGAATTTTTGTTAAAAATACCAATGTGTATATTTTTTTCTCTCCCAGATAAACATTAAAAATGCCGAAAAAGTTAGCACGATAAATAAAGCATTTGCTGAAGTTCAGAAAGAAATCCGGCAGTTATCAAAAGGTACCACAGCAGAATCTCAGAACACTCAGCAGGTAATTTCCCTTTGTAAAAATCTGAGGAAAATGAAATGTGTTTAAAGCATTATAATGTGTCTCTTACAGACTGCAGCTAGCTCAGTTGGTCAGATGGTGCTGGTTAATACCAAGGTGCTGAGTTCAACCCTTTTAAGGGCCATTTACTTATGAGTTGGACTTGATGATCCTTGTGG